CATTTGTAGATCTTTCCATTTCTAATTTATAAATACATTTGGGGTTATAAATTATAAATGTACTGCCTCCTGTCAACATTATATACTTCTATTTGATGATTTCTGTGTCAAACATTATATGGAAATGTTTCCAAGTATTTTCTGTATTAACTGTGAATGAATAAAACAAAATAAATTGCCTGTGATGGAAAAAAAAAAAAAAAAGAATGTAAAGATGTGCCGGGTGGTGGTGGCACACGGATCTCTGTGAGTTCGAGGCCAGCCTGGGCTACAGAGCGAGATCCAGAATAGGCACTAAAACTACACAGAGAAACTCTGTCTCAACCAAAAACAAACAAACAAAACAAAACAAAAACAAAAAGTAAAGACGTAGAGAAACACAGCTCCTAACAGAGATAAAGACTCAACAACCAGAAACTGGTTCCCATCGGAAAGACAGAATAGAATTAGCAGCAAAGGTGTTACAGCAGCTCTGTACACTGCCTCTGCCAACAGGAAAAGGAGCATGAGCGGGGAGGAATGCGGGCCTGCGGGCATCAGATGGAACAAAGAAGATGCTGGTGAGACTGGGACAGGCTAGGCACTGAAGGTCCATGAACTTAAAATCCACAGCGACAGATACTACCTGAAGAAACCATCACCTCAAGTGCGCTACAGTACGCAGGATGGAGGCGGTCTTTTTGAAGTATTGGCAATTCAGTGGCTCAACCCGACCCCAAAGAGTGATTTAAATCGGGTTTTGTTGTTACTATTGAAAAGGTAACAAGACACGTTTCTTCAAGTTCCTATTTCAAAAAGCAACGTTAATATTTCAAGTTTGAAGAGTAAATGTTGGGCGGAGGGCACTGAAAGTGGAGACAGAAGAGAACTGGGCTAGACTCTCCAAAGTGTCCTCATCTAGAGAAGGTTAAAACCAGCTTTGTGAGGCACAGCAAGCTGCTGCCAGAGTTTGGAAGGAGATGTCCCAAGCAGAAGCATCTGAATAAAATAGCTCTACTCTAATATGCCTACAAAACCATAAGGAGGAAGACAATAATTTCCCTGTACTCTGTCACCGAATTCACAGTCTATCAAACTCCAAGTTAATCAACTGTCCCTGAAATGAAGGCTGCCTTCCCACTACTCCTGAGCCCCTCTATCTTTTTCTAAAACGTAAGATGGATATGTGAAGGGTGGAGATGGGAAGAGGGGCTGGGGAGAAACTGCAGCGTGGAAGGAGAATCGTGGGCTGGGGGGGTTTACTGTGGTCTGGGAGCGGTCATTCCTCTAACTAAGTCCCGCACACAGGAAGACCAGGAGATGAGGATGCTATCGAGCCAGAGTTCACTCGTGTTTCATAGTAGAATCTAATTAGAGATGCAATCCTGAGTTACACCTCTATCAGAACACATCCTACTTACCTCTCTATCATCTGAACTAGTGCTTTTTTTCTAAGGTATGACTATGGTTTTGATTCTTTATATTCCTAATGTATAGTAACCAGGACTCAGTTAATATGTGCCAACTAATGACTGAATAGAGATGCCAATCTAAGCTGGGTCCTAGGAGACCATCTTACCACCCAGCCACAGCTGCCAAGTACCCACTGAGCAAAGAGCACAAGCAGAGTACATGGGGGATCACCCCACACAGTATCACACTGGGAGCAGATTACAAACAAGAAGAGCATTCTCCTCTTAGATTAAAAAGTAATGTGTACAATACCCATGGAGACCCAGAAAAGGGCATCTCATTCTCTGGCACTAGAGTTAAGAGTCACCCAATGGTGCTGAGAATCGAACCTGGGTCCTCTGCAAGAACAGCAAGTGCTCTTAACCAGCAAGCCATTGCTCTAGCCCATGAATGACCTTAAAAAAAAAATGTTTCCAAATCCTAAATTACACCTCTATCAGGACATATCCTAACTTACCTCTCTATCATCTGGACTATCACTTTTTTCAAGGTATGATTATGATTTTGAATTCCCAATGTATAGTAACCAGGACTCAGTTAATATGTGCTAACTAATGACTGAATACAGAAGCCATATTCACTGCGAGTCCTCTGTACCCTATGTTCTGATTCATGTCTCATATACTGTGCACTGCTATCATCTTCCTGTGTCGTAAGTCTACTTATGACAGCTTATTATATACAGTATATATACAGTATTATATACAGTAACATGAAGGGCATTTATATATATATATATATACTTCTATGCTGTCAACTCATACAAATTAAAAAACCGACAATCAAACACAGGGTAGAGAACCTTAGGAGATAATTCTCTCAGCTTCTTTGCATCTCATCAACTGTAAAATGAAGATATTTATTGCTGGGGCTAATGTTCATTTTGAGAATTCTCTATAATATCTAATCCAAAGGAGATATGGTAGAAAATGCGTATAAAAAGTTTTTTTTTTTTTTTT